TTTTTTACAATACTCAGGTAAATTTAGATGTGCAGATTTGTTGGAAATTATTTGGGGTGAAATGTGCAACTTTACTTTTTGTAGAAAAATGTAGAACAGTTTAAATGGAAAATAATGACTCTCAGAACAAAGCTGCAAAGACCTTTATCACTGATACCAATATGTGTGCAGAGATCTTCTTTCACTTTCAGGTTTACGGGATGATTTCTGAGAAGTAGTCGTGTTTGTCTTATAAGACAACACGGGCAAGGCGTATGTGAGGTGTTTCTATTTGCGTGTACACTATGCATACAAGCAGCTACACAGCCGAGCTCACCCTCTGATTGGTCACAGCCCTGCATTCATTTCACCGGTACAAAATAATAAGAAACCTAAGGGCTACAATAGGGTCCTTGCACTGTTTATGTTCGGCCCCTATTATCAAATCATTTATGTTTATAACATCCAAAATTATCGTTATGAACGATTCTTTTGAAGCTCAAGAGCGAATTACACAATCTTATGTTTATCATAGCATTATTCCATAATTTGACCCCAACAACAGAAGCACATTTCATTTTTGCTTTTTGTGAAGTGAACATAAACATCTCTCTAATCATATTTGGACTCCTGTAATGTAAAAAAAAACTTTTGGACACTGTGAGAGAAACATTGCTCTGGCTCTATACATTATGTGCATTATTTCATAGTGTACCAAGTCATTACATTTCATCGCATGAGATTTTATAACCAGTGGATTTGTGTGATCACGTTAACCATCCTTATTAATGATACATATGGCCCACTTTTGTAACATGACTGAGTTTATAGTTTTAAAAGTTGACCCCCACAACTCGACACAATAAGACATGTAAGGAACTATCAGGGAGCAATAAACTAGATACAGAGCTTTATAATTTATATTTTTAGAGTTATATAGGATTGCTAAAGACTTAACTTTAATATATTCAATATGTTTCCATTTTAACTTCTGATCGGTAACAACCCCTAGAAATTTTATCTCAGACACTCTTTCAATTTCAGCATCACATATTTTTAGTTTAATATCCCCGTCATTTTGTTTGATTTCCAAAAATCCTAAATTTGGTTTTCTTTACATTGAGAGACAATTTAACATCAAACCAAGTTTTGAGAATTTCCAACTCCCTTTCAGTATCATTCAGAAGTTCCTTTAAATTTTTCCCAGAGCAAAATATATTTGTGTCATCTGCAAAAATAATAAATTTAAGCAGTTCAGTAACATTACAAATATCATTTATATAACAATCACTGATCCCTGAGGTACTCCACAAGTGACCTTTCTAAAACATGATCGTGTATTATTAATACACACACACATTATCTGTTATATAAGTAACGTTCCAACCAAGAGTGGGCTACACCTCCTATGCCATACTTTCTATCCATTGTGTCAAAGGCCTTCTGTGGCTCAGGTGGTAGAGCGGTTGTCCTCTGATCGTAAGGTTGGTGGTTCGATCCTCCGCTCCTCCACAGTCGAAGTGTCCTTGTGCAAGACACTGAACCCACAGTTGCTCCTAATAGCAGGCTCACGCTTTGCATGGCAGCTCTGTCGCCTTGGTCTATGAATGTGTGTGTGAATGAGAAAACATTGTAAAGCTTTGAGTGCCGTTAAGGTAGAAAAGCGCTGTATAAGTCCATTCTGTAGATCTTCATTTTGGTGATTTCTCAAGGATTTCAGGGAGTCTCTGAACAGGTGAAGTATTGTCCTGAACACATTCGAGCACTTTGCTGATGAGCAGTGATCCAAAATCATAATACCTGTCAACAGGTGAGAAGTCTGATTGAGAATTACAGAAAACACTTGATTGCAGTGATTGGCTCAAAGGGTTCAAAAAAATATTATTTTACAGGTCTCATCATGCTTGTTTGCTTGTTGTTGTTTAAATATTTCTGTTGAAGCACAATTCAAAAGCAACGTCATGATTTTCATTAAATTCTTATTCATTACTTTTGTCAATTTTAACTTATTTCAGTGACAGCTGTTTTTTTGTTTTCCTTCTTTAATGGGAGGGTGTGAATACATTTGAAGACAACTGTATTATTTAAGGTACATTTATTCTGCCTTTTACTAGAAAACCTGAAGTAGAGTAACTTTAAACACACTTGAGCTTTTGGTAGTAGGCAGTAATTTTAATGTGTGCTGCAGTGATGTGTGTTTACTTTCTAACACACAGCAAAATCAGCATACCCAAACTAACTCTGGCAGAATTGATTTCAACACTTTTGAAATGTCTATATGGGTCCACACAACAAAGTGTTAATTTACCCTCTTTTTGAGGGGTTGATATCTTAACACTAATTAAGTGTACTAAACAAGTGTTAAGCATCAACTCTCTCAAGACACTTTGTCAACTTTAAATCAGTGTTAAGCCAACAATAACATTGCAAGGTGTACCGGCTCTTCTGAATGACTGAAAATTACTGAAAAAATGGCAAAAATAATAACAACAATGCATTTTATTTGAGTACAAGCGCTTAACATGACACCCAAGCACATTTTACGAAACAAATACAGTAAGTATCGAAGTACAGAAACAAAAGAAAACACAGTTAAATACCAAGGTAATAAATTAGGGTAAAAACAGACAAAGTAGCTGCATTAAGGTGGGATAAGCAGTCCTAGACAGGTGAGTTTTGAGTTTGGCTTTTAACAGGATGAATTAATTAATGTTCCTGAGTTCCGGTGGTAGTGACTCCATTAAACGGGCGGAGGGGACAGACTAATGGAGAGAGAAGGATCTGAGGGAGCGAGAAAGAAATGAAGCTTTTGTAATTATACTGGGAGTAAACATTCCCAGAGGCACACGTTACGTTCCCCATGCAGCTACTTGTACAAAATAATGTTGATAACGTTGTCTGACTCACCAGAATAACATTGTGTTGAATGGACGCGGTTAGCATTACTGTTCGATGTTAGCTTGTGCTAATGCTAACTTATTGCTAACCCCCCACAACCAAAACACTACGTACGTTAGTGTTACTTTAGCTTTTGAACAGCTCAGTAGGAAAACAGTCTTATAAAACTTTATCATATTCAGTGTTTGCTATCAAATGTGGAGTTTTATCGGTGGCCATGTGACAGTGTGGCGGTAAGCAGTGTGAACGTGACTTATCACAGCAAAAACACCAGATACATTTATATCAAAACATAATGTTAACTTAATTCACTTACTGAAAAATGCAAAGAAGAAGCAAGCTTTAACAAGCTCAAACACAGTTTTCAGACTCCTTCGGTTCAGCTTCAGTTGAGACGTTCAGTTCGTGAGACCAAGGGGCAGAGTTGAGTTCCACTGGTAGAGTCTTGGTCAGGTTTAGAGTTCAGAGTGAAATGTTCAGCGTTGATGTTACAACAATCACACTTGCAGATTTGATCTAAAGACACTCGGCTTTGACATTCTGTTTTGACACCAAGTACTTGTCAACTCAGAGTTAAATATAAGGGGTTTGACTCTATCTAGAGTAAAATTAACTCCACTCTTGCTCAAATTTCACCAACACCCAAAATGTAACTCTTTTCAATTTGCTGCAGGGAAGTGAATGTTGCTGGCGTGTGCACAGACTCTTTCAACATTTTAACACCATCAGCATTTTGACTGTCCAACACAACCGACTGTAAGTCAATAAAATATTACACTTTCCAAACTTGTTCTGCAAATGATCAACTGTGTGTTAATTCGACTCTGTGAGGATCTCATGAGAGAAAATAAAACCCTTTAATCTTTTGAATATGACTAATGCACTTTGCATCTAATTGCACATCCCTTCTTTTTAGTTAGAATAGAATAGAATAGAATAGAACTTTATTGATCCCTTTAGTGGAAACCTCAGGGAAATTGTTGATCGTAAAAACTGAATTGCTCTTTAAGTATTTATTGCAGGGAGATGGAGCTCATAAGAAATGAACCTGTTAGTTGCTTGTCTGTGTGACGAAGTGTCACAGAGAAAAACGATGTTGAATTTAGATCACATGTTACTAAAATTACAATTTGCATACAAGCATTTATCTGTTACTTTGGTCTAAGTTACTTAAACTTGTCATTGCACGGATATGGAACACAGATCAGAATAAAGAGTGAAAACAGAGTAACGGAAAGCTTTTTTTTTGTTGTTGTTTTTTTGGAAGCTGCTCAGCCCAGTGGTGATGTTGCTTCCTGTCTGACCGGATTCACTGAACTGAGACCGCACTTTAACACATGGTTGCGCGCATAAGTGAAACAAAGTGCTAAATGCGTGCTACAATGTAAATATTACTTTGCTAACCTGTTTAGGCATTGTTTAGATATACAGTCATCTTATTCTGTGTTTAATGCTGGTTTCAGTGCTTCTAAATATATTTACGTAGTTAATTAGATACACGTGACTCTAATAAGCCCTCGTTGGAGTGCGAAACTGGATTTCTGGGTGTTATTGTGAAGTTTATTTTAGCTTCATTTGCATTAGTCACTTATAACCTCTGTGTTGCACCAGACACACTTTGATTGTTATTTGACAGCCTTCATTCATGCGAGCTTCACGTGTTACAGTTGCAGTCACTAATCGTTGCGGTCTGCGCCCACTAGAGGGAGCCAGAGACATTTAAACGCCTACTTTCTTTATTAACCCTTAACTTTCATGCCTTTTTGTTTATTCTATTGCCTATTTGATTTCTTTGGACCGAATTAATACATTTCCAGTCAGATAATTCAATGTTTGTTATTGTATTATTGCTTTTGAAATATTTTTACATCCATCCATCCATCCATTCTCTTCCGCTTATCCGGGGTCGGGTCGCGGGGGCAGCAGGCGGAGCAGGTCGTCCCAGACCTCCCTCCCCCCGGCGACGCTTTCTTTTTTACAGTAATAATTAATATTCTTTGTACTGTGTTTCTTTTGTAGACACATAATCCATTGTGTTGTATTGTCCGGGTTGAGTTGTAATGTTTTGTTTGCCGTGTTTTAATTGTACGTTTGCACTACCTTTTTATATTGCACTACTGTTTCCATATTTGTATTTCTATTTTTACTTTATCCTATTTTTTGTCTTATTTTATTTATTTATTTATTTTTATCTGATGTTGTTGCACTGCATTCTTTGCACGACCACTTTAGCTCTGGATCTGAGAAACACTGTCTCATTTCACCGTGTGAAAAATGAACACATCAATATAAAAGGATGCAACAGTTTTACTTTTGGGGAACAGTCCACCAAACGTAACA